AATTATTTGCTTTTTTTCGTTGCCGAAAAAGATGTGATTAATATCTCTTTATAATAAAATAAATGATTAATAAATACATTCAAAAAATATCAAGAATTGATGAAAGAATAAAAATAAAGAAATAAATATTCAAATAAACACAATGAAAGTCATAAAACTAACAAATGTATTAATTTTGATTCAACAATAAAACACTTAATCTATTATTAATATATTCAAACAAAAACTCTTTGAATATTCATAAACATGTATATATCACAGAATGTTGAAAAAACATAAATAAAGAGTAAGAAGATGAATATACAAGAAGAGGATATAGAATTAAACATATAATTCAACAAAACATATTATCAGAAAGAATTAAACACAAACAATAAATGTATTAAACAATAAATGAACAAAAACAATAAATGTGAGACATTTATATGTATTGAATATGAATCAACAGAAACAATATCCAGTTGATCAAGTGAATGCAAAGAATAATGAATCAATTAATGATAATATATGAAATGAACCAATAAATAAGAGAAAAAGAGTAAAGAAATAAAGAAATATTTATAAAATCTTTATCTTCTGATTTTGTATAAACAAAACTTTCAAATATCATTTAAATCATGTTGAATTTATTTCATTTTCAATTTATTTATTCATAAATACACAAAACAAATAGAAATAAATAATTTACAGATGAATGAAATAACATAATCAAAACAAACAATGAATATTTAAAGAACTGAAAAAGAATAACAAAAAGAATCGAGATATTAAAATTGAAGAGAAATCTATAATACAACACAACGAATGATAAATAATTAGAATAAAACATACAGTTTTTGTCTTATTAAATTAAATCAAACTAAAATTATTTATGATTTAAATCAACAAACAAATAATTGAAGAAATACACATGAAATGCAGAATGAACAAATAATGATAAAAATAAGATTAAAATAGAAAGAATTATTCAATAGACAGGAATAAACAAATGAAAGAAGAATAATGGAAGAGAATAATGGAAATAAAATCGCAAGAAAGAAATAAGACTAAAAATAATACTAAAATTTGAAATAGAATTTAAAATATGAAAGAGGGATAAAATGAAATAAAGAGAATGATATATTTTACAATACACAAACATGAACAAGAAATAAGAGAAAAACAAAAATGAAATAAAAATAAAAATGAAAGAAATAACGGAGAAAGAAGAAAAGAATGATAAAAAAAGAACAACTAATATAAGAAATAACATAATGTAAAACAGATATAAAGAAGTAATAAATATATAAAATGAAGAAATGGAATAAAATAATAAATGAACCAAAAAAGGAAAATCCAATGATTAAATGTAGTTTAAATAATTTGGATAAAATAACTTATACAAGTAAAAGAATAAAAAAGTGGACTAAAGAATGGATTAAACACCAACTAAACACACAAAAAATGAAATACTAAAATGAATGATTATATTAATATATAAAGAATGAGGTGAATTAAATCATAAACATTATTGACTATTACATGGATAAATTGGGCTTTAAAAGTTTTTACTTCATTTCTTAAAAATACTATTGAACAACGTTTATTAACGCACAATAAAACAAATAACAGAAATGCAAATTGATATAGGGTGTGCTCATATCCATCTAAAGAATGTTTATTTTAAAGGTATTATTGCAAACAAATTTATTAAAAATAAAAGAAAATAAATACAAATGAAGAATGATGGGATGAAAGAATATTATAGAGTAAATCTTTTTTGGTTAATAAAGTGTTTACTCAAAAATAAAAAGTTGAATATAGAGGTAAATGGCGTTAATGAAAGTATTTTTATTATAACTATATTATTGTCATTAATAAAACAACATAGATGAATATTAAAATTAATTAGTTTAAATTCATTTTAGTAGACAACAACCTATTATATATTTATCAATTTACTTAATTAATTGATTTCATTTTTAAGATATTTCTTATCATTCAATATTTTATTTTCATCAAATATACACAATATTTCCTTAAAAAAAAAGATATTTGTTTTACTTTTTTATTATTTTAATGATAGTTATAAGAAAAAAATTTTGTTCTTGATGCACAATTGTTAAATTCGTGCCAATCAAAGTTTTTTGACTCAATTAATGAATTAAATGAAACTTGATAAAATATAATGTACTTTTTGATTTCTAATTAAATGAAGAGAAATTTTGAAACCCTTAAAAAAGAAATTTCTTAAATAAAAAAAAATTGATGAAAATTAGTATAATAAAAGATTACTTATAAATTATTAAATTTCAATATGTTTTTTAACAAAGAAATGAGAAATGAAAATTCTGCTTTAATTTTTTTAATTTGAATTACTTATTAGGTGAATAAAAAACTTCTTTTATCTTCATTCTATAAAATATTAAATTAAATAGAAACAATTTTTTAGGCAAATAACAGTTATTGGTAATAACATGAACAATACAATAAGTTTGAAATATTTAAAATGATTTTAAATTTAAAAAAAATAATAATAATCTGATTTTATCTTCAAAAAATGGTAGTTTATTCTTTAAATTGAACTGTTATATAGAAAAACTTTGAATAGTTTGAGTAGAAAGAATATTTGTTATTTAATCTAATCTAGTAAAAGGGTTTTCAATTCAATACTACAAATGAAAGTACTCATTCTTCTTGCCTTATTCATTATTTGTGCTTTCTCTGAACAATCAAGTAGTTATAGCAATGACTCAAGTAGTTATAGCAATGACTCAAGTAGTGGAACAGAAGATGACAATAAATATTCTGTAGAATTTTGGGTTGCCATTGGATGTGCTATTGGTATTACTGTTGTCATAATAATTTTGATTCTTGCAATTACAGTTTTATTCATTTATAAGAAGATGACCAATAAGTCTAGCGAATATGATGCTATTGCTTAACTCATTTTGTTTTTTAGACGATTAAAGGTGAATAAATTTATTGTTGATTATTTTAATAACAAAACAAATTTTTATAAGTTAAAAATCAATTAAAATAAATAGTATCGTTCTGATTGTTTTCACATAAAATTATTCTATTTGATTATTCTGAATGAAACAAACTAAAAAAATATTTATAATTTCTGTATTTTTTATTCAATACTATTATTATTTTTCTTTTTTCTTGTGTTTTGATATTAAAATTGATTCACTTTTCTAACTTTTTAAATTCATGTCATTATAATGAAATGACTAATAGTGAAAGTAATCGGAATATCATTCATTTTATTCATTATTTCTTTCTATTAAATTTATAAAGTACTTCTTAAAAAAAGAATCTTTTTGAACTAAAATAATCCAGCTCATTATTTTTTGTTATATATTGCATTTTTATAAAGATAAAAAACAAAAATAGGAAAATAAAATCTTGAGATTCATTTCATGCAAAACTTAAATCAAAATACCTCTTTAACATCTGGAACAAATAGCAGTATACCTAGTCTTTCAACTAATGCATTTCCTTCATTAACATCAAATGGAGGACTTGGAAATTCTACTAACCTTTTTTCTACTTCACTTAATACTGGATTTGGAACAAATACAACAACAGGACTTGGAAGTACTAATAGCCTTTTCTCAAATTCACTTAGCACTGGACTTGGAACAAATTCAACAACAGGACTTGGAAGTACTAATAGTCTTTTTTCAAACACATTTAATACTGGATTTGGAAATTCAACAACAGGAAATAATAACACAGTGTTATTAAACCCTCTTTCTATTTCATCATTATCAATTGGAACTAACGTTTCAAAAGACAAACAAAATAAAGAAAAGTCATGGATATACCATGACCAAACATCAATGAATCAACCAGATTTTGTAAGACCAGAAGAAATGATGTTTAATACATCATGTTGTATAATTGATCCAAAAGTTATTGACAAAATATTATTTGATGCTGAAAGAGAAATTGAGGCATTACAACCAAATGTTTCATATGACATTAAACCAATAGGATTAAAACAAGGGTATGTATGTAATCCTTCAATGCAAGCATTAAAAGCTATGTCAATTGAACAACTTAAAGATGTTTCTTCATTTGAAGTTTCAAGACCAGGTTATGGTAAGGTTATGTGGTCAAAAGTTGATTTAACAAATGTTAATTTAGATATATCTATTATTATAGAACGAGGATATTGTGATGTTTATCCAGATGGAATTCAAAAACCTCGATTTGGAGAGAAGTTAAATAAAGAAGCTACTATTGTTTTAGAGAATGTCGTTGATACAGTAGAAGAATTTAGAAAACTTCTTCCCCGTTTAAGTAAGAAAGTAGATATTAAAAGTTATGAAGAAAGTACTAAAACTGTTACTTTTGTTGTTCCTCATTTTACACGATATTCTGTTCTTGACGAAGATAATAATACACAAGAGAATGAAAAAGAAGAGGTTATTGATTATCAAAAGAGTCAGATTATATCAAACAATAGTCCTGAGTGGAAATTTCCTGTAGTTGTTCTTCATAAGATTGAATACAGTCCATTTGAGATTGATATATAAAATGATATTCTCATTTTATTTGAATTGAATTTTAGTAAAGAAATATATTGTTAATAATAAAAAAAAACAAAAATAAATGAATTTTCTTTCAATATATGAAAAAGAAGACATCAAAATATTATTTAATCTTCTTCAAATCGTTCTATTCGTTTACCTCCTCTTTGAGGTGTTTTTCCTTTTGGCTTTTGATGTTTTTGTGATTTATATTCTTTTCTCATGTCATTTTTACTTTTTGTATCATCAATTTCAACGAAATGTTTTTCTTTTACTGCTTTTTGTTCAATTGGGTGATTAACTGAATATATTTTTACATCATCAACAGAACGGACTTGTTTCTTATGTGGCTTTTCGTATTTTTCTTCTCTTTCCATTAAACTTCAATGTGATTATTTAGTCCTTTTGTTTTAATTACTTTTTATTTTTAAACCCTGATTTCCATTCTATTATTACTTAGTACCTTCTTGTATGTTTTATAACACATTTTTTGATCTTAATGAAACGTCAAAGTTGAATGTGTGATAAAAAAAAAGAATAGGGTTTTAATAGTAAAATAATAATAAAAATATAATAAAAATATAATTTTAAGAAAGACAAAAACACAAAAAGAACTAAAAGAACCAAAAGTCGCAATCATGGCAGAATCAGCTGAACTTATTACAAATAACGACCAATTAGTTGAGGAATCAACCATTTCAGGAAAAGGTTCATTTATTGTTCATTTTAGAATACAACAACGTAATGGAAGAAAATGTGTAACAACAATTACAGGTATTCCAGAAAGGTATGACGCTGATTTAATTCTTAAGCACTTTAAACGTGTTTGTCTTTTTTTTTTGAAGATACTTATAAATTCAATATAACTAATATTTATAGACATTTAACTGTAACGGCTCATTACAAAAATCAAAAGATGGTGAAGTTGAATTTAAGTTATCAGGTGATCAACGTAAAGCAGCCTCAAATTTCTTCCTTGCTGAAGGTATTCTTCTTCCAGAAAATATTAAAATCCATGGTTTCTAAATTGAGTTTTTATTATTTCATTTGTTCCATTAAAATATAATACTGGAAAAATAATTACTAAAAGGAGTGAATTGATTATTCCAATTTTGTTCTTCCTGACATGTATGACATCATTTTCATATTTAATTCAGTAACAGCATTCATTTCTTTTCTATCCTTAATGTCGTAGGTATATGTTTTAACGTTATCAGTAACTTTTAAAGTAATAACCAAATCATCATCTCGATACTTCATAAAATATCTTGTCTATCTAATCAGTTCAACCCTTTCTTAATTCAATTTAAATTACAAATTCATGACTAATAATCTTAGTCTTTTGTTTAACAAACATTTTGGTTAGCCCTGAACAATGCCTCTGCATATTCTCTGAATTTTGCGAGACTTTCTACTTTCATTAAGATTAAATAAAATTTTAAGATTCATTTTAGATTTTCTTATTTTTCATGTCTTTTTGAATATGTGATAATAATTGTATAATTAATGACAAGCAAATAAAAAACTAAGAGATGCCTTTTTATTCTTTCTAAGATATAGCTGTTGAATTTATTTGAAAAGGTAAGTCATAATTAATAGTTTTTTCTTGAGACAAAAAACAGAACTATGAAAAAATAATAAAGTAAATGACTGAAGAAGAACTTCGTCAAGTGTTTGACATTTTTGCTTTTGAAGGCACTGACTATATTACAACTGTCTCTTTAAAAAGGGTTATGACAACACTAGGAGAAAAACTCACAAACGAGGAAATCAATGCTATGATTAAAGAAGCTGATACAGATAAAGATGGGAAAATATCATTTGAAGAATTTAAGCGAGTAGTGATGTCCGAATGAAGAAAGGAAAGAAAGATGTTTCATAATTTTTAACATTTCTTTTAAAAATTTTTATTAGTAAATATAAAAATAGTGAGGGTTATAACAAACCCTAAAATAAAATCTATTCTTTAAAAACTTAGGGAAAATAAATGGTAGAAAGAGAAAAAAAAGAAAGGAAAAGATGAAGAAAAAGAAAAGAATCAAAGGATCAAATAAAAAAGAACCATCTTCAAAAAGAGTCAATGAGCGTAGATAAGAACATTACTTTGTCTTTAGATGAATATTGTAAATTAAAGAGCAATTCAGAACAAATGAGAGATAAAGAAAAAAATATAGAAGAGATGAAAATAAAATGCTCAAAAGCAGAAGAAGAAGTGAAAAGACTAAAACAAGAGAATCTTCAACTGCGAGAAAATGATGAAAAGAAAGAACTAGAACTAGCAACACAAAAAGTTCAATTTGAAAGAATTAAAAGTGAAATTGAAAAGACTAAACAAGAGAAAGCATTGTTAGAGACTAAGTTGGAGTATATGAATAGGGATCTAATGACATTAAAAAAACAATACAATGAAATAAATGATGAAATAATAGGACTTGCTCTTGTTGGAGGAGAAGAATCAAATACAACACAATTATTTGAAATGAAAGGACTCTCATTAGAAAAAGAAGAACGGAAAAAGCCACGTCAACCAACAAAAGAAAGAAAAAAAGAAATTAAAAAGAAAACAGTTATTGACGATGATGAAACAGATACTATTGAAGATATAACACTAAAAACAATGAGAGAACATAGTGAAGAAAAAAAAGTAGATTTAGAAGAGACTGAAGAATTGTCTACAAGTGTTTTATTTAAAAATCCCCAAAAATGTGTTTTTGATGTAAATTACAATTTAGTTATTGATGTCATGAAAAAAATAATAGAACAAGGAAAGAGTGTTGCAAGAATCAAAGGATTTCCAAGTATTCTTGCAGTAGATGTTTTTAAAGAATATACTCGATTAAAAGGAATTAATATTTATGATGGAATTAAAGGAGAAAAAGAACGTAAAAACCATTTAAGATATAATGTTGGTAGTTTTAATAAATGTTTAAAAAAACTTGAAGATGCTAGACTAAAAAAGGGATTTCCTGAAACAATTCGAGTTGTTACATCTTGTTATGTATACATTCAATGCATTGGTGATCAATTTAAAGTAAAGCCATCAAATTCTACCAATTCATTATCGAATTGAAGAATAGTCATAACAAATAAAGAATGAGTATCATTAAACAAACAATCACATAAACGAGTTATTGTTTTTATTTAAATGTTTGATAAATCTTTTAAAATTCTCTTTTTATTATTTGTTCCTTTTCATTTCGGTTTTTTCTTTTCATAAAAAGAACTAGTAATATTATTTTATGACTCTTAATCTACCAACTCAACCTTTCACTTTCTTAAAAGCTGTTGAATTCTTTGGAGAATATGAAGATGCAATCCCATTAATTTCTGATATGAAGAATGATATGAAAGAATTTATTCAATTTGTAGAAGAGTCATCATGTGATAGTTTTGAAGGTATTACAACGTCTTTACAAAAAATTACTGATGACCTTTATTCTGTTTGTAATATTAAATAAATCTACTAACCAAAAAGAGTCTCTATTAAAAAAAAATTAAAGACTTATTTCTTTAGAATCTTGGAAGAAATGTAAATGCTTTTAAAGCTTTGTATTATGAAAATAATCAACAAATGGAAATTATTCATCGTTTAGCATCCAAGTTTGATTATATCTTTTTGTAATTTCTATTTTATAATTATATAACTAAAATATAGTTATGTCCATGGTTTATTTCATGTAAAATTTTGGATTATTCTTACAAAAACATGTTTTGCAATTCAAGATGCTTTACTCTATTCTACTTGTCAAGCTTCAACAATACAAAATGATTGTATTGAATATTTAACAATGGCAAGTGATGTGTTTTATTCTATTGAACATGATTTATTAACACCAGAAGAAGTATCAAATGCATTGATTGGATTTATTAATAAAATTAATAATGGTGTACCTATAATTGCAAATAGAATAGAGACTATTAAGAAAATTATTGTACTCTTAAAACCAATTCATCTTATGTCAATTTATCATTATGTTGCATTAACAAATAATAATGATGTGACTAATGTTTTAAAACAAATAATAGATGACCTTTTAATGAATGGTCCTGTTATTCAATTTGTTCAAGAAAATATGGTTTGTTTAATGGATGAAGAATAGAATTGAATAGAACATATTTGTGTCTAATTGAAGTTTTACTAAAAATATTTTTATTTTATAGATTAATTTAGTTTTATTAAAAAAATGAATTTAATAATATTTTGTTTTAAAGAAAATATTTCTTATTGAAATTATATTTATTTTAATTTTTTATGATTTTGTCATAAATCTTTCTATTGTTCTTTTGGTTTTTGATATTCTATGGTTTATGTGACTTATTTCAACTAAAATAAAGCTTCTTTTTCTTTCATTATTTTTATTCTTTTTAAATGGTTTAAAACATTAAATTATTTAGTTTCTTGTTATTAACTATCTTGCATCAGAAAGTTAGTGTAATGTGTTTATTTCAGGAAGTTGTTTAAAAAAGAAGCTTTGAAAATTAGTAAATAGCACAAAATTATAAAAAGATAAAGTAAGAATATAGAAAAATATAGACTAAAATAAAAAGATTTTTTAATAAAATATTATTGAAAGTCAGATAATTCAGTCAATTTATTCTCAAAAATCAATCGTAGATTCTAAACGGTTATTAGTAATAAATAAGAAACAAAAGAGTTGATTTGATGGCGAAATAAAAAAAACAATTACCAAAAATGAAAAAAAAAAGAAGAATTACAAGGGAAAACTACTAATTTGATACCAAGAAAAATAAAATGCTGACCACTTTTTAAATCACTTAATTGACGGCGAAAACTAATAAAGTCGAAAAATGGCTGATTGCTGTGTTGAATACTCAGAGAACGGATATAATGAAATATCCCAATCCCCTCTTTTTAATGAATTTCGCTATGTAATTTTTGCTATTAAAATTAAAGAAAATAGGCTTTTCCAAGAGATTAAACCACCTAAATATCAATATCAAACTAATTTACCTAGTGGAGAATATTCTTTATTACCTAGTCATAAACAACTTACAAGAGCATCATTTATTGTATCAAATTTACAAACACTTCATTCTTTAGTTTGTTTATTATTTTAATTTTTTTGATCCATTGAATATATTTAATGAAATAGGTTGTTATTGGTAAGTCATTTGACTTAGTATCAGTAGAACCAACTAATGAAAGGGCATTTAATGAAACATGTTCATTAGCAACAACTGATATTATTACATTAGACTTTTTACGGTATTCTTTTTATACTAATATAAATGCTATTAGAACTGCTCTTACAAGAGGAATTTTTTTTGAAATAAAGATATCATCTCTTTCATCTATTAAAAATGGAAATTTACGTTCTCAAATTTTTTCAAATATTCATGACTTTATCATATTAACTAAAGCTAGAAATTTAATTCTTTCAAGTGGTGCTACTTCATTAAATTCATTTAAGTCTCTTCGTTCACTACAACATTTTGGTAGGACTCTTGGTCTTACACCTTCTCAATCATATGATGCTATTTGTTCAAACCCTATGCGTTGTATAACTCGTTCAAGAAAAAGAAATCCTATTAATTGTTTGGTTATTGTCTAATTATACTATCCTCAATTCTAATCTTTCATTTTTTTTTCTATTGTTAATTATCATCTATTTAAAAAATAATTAAAATTAATAAAGTAATCATTTGAAAGAATGTGTGTATTTTTTATATTTACGATTTTATTTTTTTTTGAATTTTAAGAAGAACAGTATTCATATCTTCATCAGATGAACTTGAATCATCCTTTTTTTGTTTTTTACTTTTCTTGTCTTCAACCTTTTTTGATTTCTCTTCATCTTTTTTCTTATCATCTGTTTTCTTTGAATGTTTCTTTTCTTTTTTACTTTCTTCTTTTTCACTTTCAGGTTTTTTAGGTTTCTTTTCTTCTGTTTTTTCCTCTTTCTTTTCATGTTTTTTTTCATCCTCTTTCTTTTCCAACTTCTTCGCTTTCTTGTCTTTTTTCGTATCTTCTTTTTTATCACTTTCTTTCTTTCCTTCATTCTTTTTTATTTCTTCTTTTTTCTTATCATCTGTTTTCTTTGAATGTTTCTTTTCTTTTTTTTCTTCTTCTTTTTTAATTTCAACCTTCTTTGGTTTTTCATCTTCTTCTTTTTTAATTTCAACTTTCTTTGATTTTTCTTCCTTCTTACTTTCAACTTTCTTTGGTTTTTTTTCTTCTGTAGCCTTTTCATCTTCCTTCTTTGTTACTTTTTTTGTTTTCTTTTCTTTTTTATCTTCAGTATTTAGTGTTTGTGCATCATATTCTTTTAGCTTGTCATTATACTCTGCTTTAGACGCATAATATTGGTCGATATATTTTTTCTTTTGTTCTTCAGGTAATTCTTTCCATTCGACCCCTATTTTTTTACCAATCTCTGATATTTTTAAATCAGGGAACTGTTTCTTATATTGAGGGTATTTTTCTGATGAAAATAATAAATAAGCATTTTTTGGTTTTTTTGGTTTATTTTCATCTTTCTTTGGTGTTGATTTTTCTGATACTTTCTTTTCATCTTCTTTTTTCGATACTTTTTTGTCTTTTTTTTTTTCTTTCTCAGTTTTAATTACTGGCTTTTTAGTGTCTTGTAATAAACTAGATTTTCTTACAATCTCTTCTTTCTTTTCTAATGATTGTGAAGAACATGCAGAAATACACTCTATACAACTAGTCTCAGCATCATAATCAACTTTTGCTTCTTTTTTAAATACTTTAGCCGCATCCCGATATCCTTGTTCAAGCATATAAATATAAATATGGGCATTAGTAGATTGTTGAGACATATTTTAAACTTAAGTCTAATGAGATTTGATACAATACTAGTTCTCTTTTATAGTAACCATTTCTTTTCTAATTTTTTCTATTCTTAAGCTAAGTAGATTCTTAAGGTAAAGTCCCTGTGATTTACACTATTGTGCTCTATTTTTTTTTGTCCCCCATTATCTTCACTAGTTATATGAAAAGAGAAAAAAGTAGGTTTTCCTGTTTTTGAAGTTTCTTTCCTAGTTGTCGTCTTTTCATCTATTTCCTTAATGTATTAGGTAATCAAGAACTTAATTTGCCGAATCTTATAATTACGTTCATTAAGAGTCTAGTGGGGTTTATCTCAAAAAATTTTTAATGGGTCTAAAGCCAAAATTAAGTAGCTTTCAAAATAAACTCCACTGAGTAAAATTTTTTTCTTTTCTTTAGTGAAAAACACATCATAAGTAAAGACTTTGAGAAAAAAGAGTTAAAGAACAGTATTATTCTAAACACAGAATAATTCAAGTTAATATAAACAAAGGAAAGAATAAAGTGCCTATAATAAAAATTGAGTAATAAAAATGATAAAACAATAAAAGAAACAAAACAAATAAGAAAGAAGGAAGAGATTGATCCATTTGAGTAGATAAACTATCAATTTTTTAGATTAGTTAAACAACTAAAAAAGGAGAGGATGAAAAAACACTGAAAGAAGAAAAATAAACAAAGGAGAGGAATTCTTAAAGAAAGAAGAAGAGAAATGAGAAGTTTACAAAGAAGTTTTTAATGAAAAAGAAAAAAAAATAAATAAAACCAAGAGAAGTAAAAACAATGTTGTTTTATCAATATTTAAATAAGAAGGAAAGAAACTTCAATTAAAAAAATGAACTAAGAAAAAACATACCAAATAAAATGGACAAAGGTAAATTAGCAAAAATGGA